GGGGGGGAATAAATGCCTTTTTCTCGCTTTCTTATTGTTGAGCATGTGTTGCCAGTTCCTGCTTTCAACGTGATCAATGGTGGATCCCACGCTGGAAACAAACTTGCAATGCAGGCATATTATATTTCTGCGTTAATAATGTAGTTAAATCCTCTTAGGAAATAAGATTCTCATTAGTAGTTATCTGCAGGAGTTTATGATTCTTCCTGTTGGAGCTTCTAGTTTCAAGGAGGCTATGAAGACGGGTTGTGAAGTGTATCATCATTTGAAGGTTTGACACAGTTGTCCAGCTTCTATTGCCTTCACAATTTTGTTTTTTATCAAACAAGTCCATTGACAATATATGCGACGTATCAAGAAAGATGGAGGTATTTTCTTTTATTGATTAACTCTATTCAGGCTAGCAATGGAGTATTAACATTGTCCCAAAAAGTTCCTTACCCTCATTGATCTGGATCTTCCAGTAAACAAACTTCTATTTTGTAGGCTGTGATTAAGAAAAAGCATGGACAAGATGCCACAAACGTTGGTGATGAGGGTGGTTTCGCTCCTAACATCCAGGTGAATATAATCTTAAGCTGGTTATGATATTCTGTTGAATGTTTACCTTCTTTCTTTCACATATTATTGTTTCTAAAATACAGGAGAACAAGGAGGGCCTTGAATTGCTCAAGACAGCCATTGATAAAGCAGGTTATACTGGAAAAGTGAGTTCTCAATTCCTTCTTGAGCCCCCCCCCCCCCCCCTCCTCCTCCCCCTTGTTTTTGCAAATACTGCTACATAAGTGGAAGATAAGATTATTTTCTATTTAGGTTGTAATTGGCATGGATGTTGCCGCATCTGAATTCTATGGAAAGGACAAAACTTATGATCTGAACTTCAAAGAAGAGGTAAGTTCTTGCCGGCAAGGCCCTACATCATTTTCGAATATTTATGTGCAAAAATGAACATGTTAGACCTAACCTTTTTTGGTGAAAAAATGGCTAGCCCCATTGTGCGTTCATAAAGATATTATCAGCTTTTGTCAATGCTATATTCCTTAAATGGAAGGGAATAACTAATAGATATGCAAAGGACGAGATAGAAGAGACTTAAAATTGTTTACTGAGGTGATTTATAGTCAATTCTCAACTTGAACTGACATTTGCTCCTTTTTTTTCCATCTTTGCAGAACAATAATGGCTCACAAAAGATCTCAGGTGACCAGCTCAAAGATTTGTACAAGTCATTCGTGTCTGAGTACCCTATTGTTTCAATTGAAGATCCATTTGACCAAGATGACTGGGAGACCTATGCTAAGCTCGCTGCTGAGATTGGGGCGAAAGTTCAGATCATGGGAGATGACCTCCTTGTTACCAATCCTAAGGTAAGATTGAAGCGTCTTAAAGCAACTTGATGCTTCCTTGCTTAGAGATAGATGTGTGCTTTGGGCTTCCATTGAAAAGGAAATGTACAAGTGGTCTTCTTTCTTTTGCCTGTTGATCTACTTTGTGAAGGCTGTTTAAGACTTAGATATTTGTTCGTTATGTATGTGCAGAGGGTTGCTAAGGCAATCGACGTGCAATGCACTTCTTCTTAAGGTATCTTTGAATCATCTATGGCAGCGTTGTTGTCAACATTCCGTATTTGACTCGGCGATTCATTTCTTACTCATTTCATGTACAGGTTAACCAAATTGGAAGTGTGACTGAGAGTATTGAAGCTGCAAAAATGTCTAAGCAGGCTGGTTGGGGTGTGATGACCAGTCACTGCAGGTGAGGAGATTATCATTCTCTGAAATGGGTTTAGAAACTTAATTAAAGATGATTGTTATATATATGAAACTTGTTAATGAACTTATGTTATTTGCTCAGTGGAGAGACAGAGGATACCTTCATCGCTGATCTTGCTGTGGGTTTATCAACTGTAAGTTTGTTACAAGACATTCTAAGATTTTGTTGTCTGTAATTTAATTTTTTACTCCGTGGTATTAATTATTAGTTTCCTGGAAACTTTCAGGGACAAATCAAGACTGGAGCTCCCTGCAGGTCAGAGCGTCTCGCAAAGTATAACCAGGTAGTAATTATCCCATTAGCTATTTCCCTCCACCAAACTGCATTCATGGAATTGTCCAGCACTTCTTTCCGTATACTCTTTGCACCAGCAGTTCTGATTTTTTGTTCTTTCACACAGCTTTTGAGAATTGAAGAGGAACTTGGGTCAGACACCATTTATGCTGGAGCAAGCTTCCGAGTAGCTGTTGAGCCCTACTAAACTTGATCTGGTACTGTGAGATGTAGTCTCTCTTTGGCTGAATAAATCGCGATCGCCATGCATATGAGTTATCTTAGATGGTCTATGATCAGCTTTTTTCAACAGTTGTTTGTTCTGAGGTTTAACAGTGTTTCATTTTTTGGCTGCTGGTTTTGTAAAGGGGAATACAGATAGATCATAGTAATTCTTAAATTTATGTTTTCATAGTTTTGGTGTCGCATACCTTCAATGTGTGCTTTGTCGGTTGGCAAATTCACATCTCTAGTGTTATAACTCTCTTTAGCAGATCAATCAAGAAACAAGCGCGCTCAGGCCACGTAAAATTTTATCTGGCATCTAGCTTCTCAAATGAGGGTTGGTTTCTCTAAAAGAACAAACGAGATCTACACACTAACATTGCTTCTCTGCATGATCATTTAGGGTGCACTCTGCCTTGATCAGTGGGGAGAATGCCCCTTCTAATTTCAGTGTTAAAGAGTTTAGACCTGTGTTCAAATTTTTGGCTAATATTACTGCTACGCTTTTTTTTTTCTGTTACCATATGGCATCCATTCACAAGCGTATTTTTTTTATCAGCATTTTGAGGTAAAAATGCTGTTAATAATAAAAGGAGAGTGCTGCTGATAGCTAGGATGCCAAGAGTGTTGCTCCCATTGTAATCACAATTTGTTGCATTAATGATACATATGTTAAAACAATTGTTAAATGAAATCAAAATAAAGAATTTGTAAGACACGAGAAAGATGAGTATTATGAGAGATGACAGAGGTAGGAATTTTACTAGAGAAAATCTCACTTTATATCCATGCGGTCCAAACTATTTACCCGGTTATTTCTCAATGTGCGGCTTGTCCTCCAGCTCAACTGCTTCTCCAACTCTTACTCCACTCTGCTCTTTTTTCATTTGAAGCAAAAACGGCAATCCCAATTTCAGCAATCAAAATTCTAATCCAAATCTCGTATCGTCTCGGTAAAAAGCACACATATGTGACAAAAAATTACTAATCTTCTCTTATTGTCGTACTTTGGGGTTCATCATCAATGGCAATTCACACTTGTTTCTCACCAATACCTTCTTCTTTCTCTTCACCCAAACTGGAATTGCCAAAGAACATCATTTTTCAGTCTCATAGAGGAATCCGGTCAAAACCCAATTTCAATTATGATATGAAAAGATAGTTTGTTAGGGTATGGTTTCAAAATGGAAACGTGACTTGTATGGGTGAGGACTTGCCGATTGAGTATGCTGATTGGTTGCCTAAGAGGGACCAAAGTGATCGTAGAAGAGGTGGAATTTTGCTACATCCGACGCCGTTTCCTGGAATTTACTTGTAATTTGTTCTTACAAAATTGTTCTTCCATTTCCTTTATATCCTTCTTCAAAAAGAAATTAGATCTGATTATCTGAGAAATTGACCTCTGGCTAGTTTCAATTCTGCTCCATTTTTTCTTGATTGTCTTTCCCTAGCTCTTGCTCTTGCCTTGACCCTTGAATTTAAAATTTTTATTTTGAAGATTTCTTGTTTGATTCAAAATGGGTGCTGTTAAATATTGCTTATAATACCTTCTGGAAGTTCATACTGAAATTTGATAGCATTTGGAGCTGATTTGAGGTGATTGAGATCGAAATTTTCAGCTGAAAATCGAAGAAGAACACAGCTACCCAATAGTATACTGCTACGGTATACAATATGTTGTAGGAGTATATAGCTATAATGCAACAAATACTATTATAGTTTACAATATACTGCAACGGTATATTGTAATAATCGAAGAAGAACATAGTTACCTAACAGTATACCGCTACAGTATACAATATACTATAGGAGTATATAGTTATACTTCAACAGTGTACTATTATAGTATACAATATATTGTTATAGTATACTGTAATAATATGCAATATACTGTAACAGTAAGTTGTAATAGTATACAATATATTATAATAGTATACTTATTACCCATAAATTCACTTGCATTTTCCCTTTTAATTAGCTTTAAGCTTTTACCCAGCGTGAGGGGCAAATTGAAAATGCAAAAAAAAAAAAAAAAATTTATAGTATGCTATATAATGTAGCAGTATACTCTTACAATTAGATCCTTTTAAAAAATTTAAGATTTTAATTGACAACTGATATTATTTCAGTTTAATAATTGAATTAAATTTGCTTTAATTCTTTACGTACAATTGTATACCCTGTTGGTATATCTATATACTATACTGGTATCATATGTTAGTTAATATTTTTTGATTGTATTAGCTACATTTAATTGGTACACAATTTTATTTTTCTTTAGTAATAATATAAAAAAAAGAATAGTGAAAAAGAGTGAAAACAGTAAATCAAATTAGATTATGAAGAGAAAAAGAATATAAAAAAGAAGTTAAATGAAATTAGAAAAGGAAAAAAGAAAAAAATAAGAAGAAAACGAGAAAAAAGAAAAGGAGAAAAGAAAAAAAAGAAAAGAAGCATAGAAATAAAAAAGAATTGGAGAATAAAGAAAAAATTCCCCACAAAAACTACTATCGGTAGGAAAAGTAATTAGTTTATGGGTAAAAAAATAAATTGGTAGATAAGGATAAATAGTTTTATTTTTGTAGGTAACTGTGTCAAAACCCCATTTTAAGATTCAAAAAAATGCTCGTTCGATTTAGGGGATTCATAATTTATACATATACTGAAACCCCAAATGGGTAGACATGTAAAAGTTTTTTACCTATATACAAAGTCAATTTTTGTGCAAAGGAGAATTAGTTGAACCCCCCCCCCCCCCCCCAAACGTGGTTGTATCACTGTTAGTCTGTTACATTTTTTTTGGTTTAAAAGATAAACATATATTAAGATTAAGTGTTGCGTACTGAGGGCGGATGCTTATGCTGCATCCTATTACACGATAATGTACTAGTAGAGGGTGCCAAACTATTATACAAACTGCTATTAATATTACTATCTACTGCATTACTATTACAATAGCCATTTATAGAATCGTAGTTGTTCGAGTGAGTGGTGAAGTCCTCAAAAACATATCCTTGCACTGCACTCCTGTCTTGCTCAAAAACTGACCATGCAAAGGCTGGGCTGTCTTCCAAAATACGTACTGGCGAGTTGAAGTCAAAATCGTAGCCTACCTTTGCTAGTTTATCCGCAACCCTATTCTGCTCCCTGTACGCATGTTGTATTACTGGCTTACCTAACTGGTCCAGGAAGTACCTGCAGTCCGTTAACAAATTATCAAATGAGACATTGTTAGAGATAAGTAGTGTTATAAATTCTTGTGAGTCCACTTCCACCTCCAGTGGAATGAGGTTATGTGTGTAAGCCATCTGAAGTCCCTGTAACAATGCATACAATTCAGCTGAAATTGGTGAATCTCTTGGGACTGCTGCTGCAAAACCCAACATCCATTTAGCTTTTGAATTTCGTATTAGCCCACCAATGCCAGCTTTGGTTGCTGTATGTGCTCCATCAGTATTCAGTTTGTAAAATAATTCTTTTGGAGGTTTCCATTTTAGATTTTGTTGTCTTTTTTTAACACAAGTATGTTTATTAGCTACTAGGTAGGTATATTCCGCCGCTTGCTGAGTTTTTAATTTAACTGAAGTCGTGTTCGTAGTATGCTTATAACAGTTGTTATTACGTGCTACCCATATATTCCATAAACTTAATGGCAAGTATATAGTCGGGTTCATGTGATAAGGTAATTGAAGTGCCTTACAAGTTATGAGGTCATGTACCCAATTACAAGCATTTATGTACGGTATTCTTTGGGTAATAAAATAAAGTATACCTAATTCCTGCCAATATGTTCTAGCGTTTGTGCAGTCAAAGAATAAGTACCTAATAGTTTCATTCTCTTGGCGACAAAATTGACAAGTAGCATGTTGAAGTAAATTAAATATGTCTAAGGTAGTCCTTTGTAGGAAGTCGTTTCCTCTGAAGAAGCCAAATGAACCTTCTGATTTTAGGTTGGACAGGAAGTTTCCGTATCCAATTGTATTTTGTAGAATTATTAGTAGATTCAAATAGCTGCGCTTCCAAGACTTTATACATAGATCTAGTTGTGAAGTGGCATGTTGGAGTTAAACCCCAGAAGATATTATCCACCTTATTACCATATTTGCAAAAATAAGTAACTTGAGTTATGTTTTTAATATTAGTGGGTAACTCAAATGGGAATTTATTCCAATCCCATCCCTTATTATTTATTAAAGAGGAGATTGTGATATTGTGGTGGAATAACGGAAGTGGACCCTGAATTTTTGATCTAATCTTTGTGCCAGGCCCAATCCAAGGGTCTTCCCAAAACTTATTATGTGTGCCTTTTCCTATATTCCATTTTATTCCTAGTTGACAGTGATGCCAGCCATTGATAACATTGGTCCAAATTTGTGAGTGAATATTATTGGGTGATGTATTAAGATATTTGCTAAGAAGTATGTTAGCCCACATTGCTTGTGGTGTCTTAAAAATCCTCCAAGCTAGATTTGCTAGTGAAGCAAGGTTCTTTTGACGTAATTTTTGAATTCCTAATCCTCCCGCTTCCTTTGGTAAAGTTACTTCCTTCCATCTCACAAGGTGTAGTTTCTTTTTTTCTGAAGTTGTACCCCATAAAAAATTCCGTTGATATTGTTCCATTTTATTAACTATGTGAGCCGGAATATGAATGTACTGCATGATATGATTTGGTAACTGGTTTAGAGTAGATTTTATTAAAGTGGCTCTACCTGCCAAAGTTAGAAGTCTAGATTTCCATCATGCCAGCTTATTTTTGAAATTGTCTAGGAGGAACTGGAAGTCTGCATTTTTGGGTCTTGTTCGGAACATAGGAAATCCCAAGTATTTACCAAAAGAGGTTCCTTCTTTGATGTGGAAAGAAGTAATTACAAAATCTTTATCGAAGGAGCTACAATTTTTAGAGAAGAAGATTTTTGACTTTTCAAAATTGATTTTTTGCCCTGAATGTTAGGAAAAGTTATTCAAAACATCAATGATTGCATGGCAACTTTTGGTAGTAATCTTAGAGAAAAGTATAATATCATCTGTGAAGAAGAGGTGAGAGTAGTGGACCTTTGTTAGATAGTCGAATTGGTTGCCACTTTAGATTGTCAACTGATAGGGAGATACTTCATGAAAATAATTCCATGCACATTATAAACAAGTAGGGTGAAAGTGGATCTCCCTGATGAATACCTCTTGTTGGTGTAAAGTATTGAGTTTTTGAACCGTTAATTAATATAGAAATGGATGTGGTTGT